CTTATTAATTACGTTAATACAAAAAGCGTTTAAAGTTGTTTATGATTTCTTCAAAATTATTATTGTAATTTGGGGTAGAAACGAAAATGAAGATTAAAATACTTTGTTAACATTACATTTTATGTTAAAATTAACATTTCTTTGAATTCTAATTACTTCGAAAACCCTATAGAATAAAGATCTTAGATTAAATCCTGCTACAATGAAGAAAATCCTTCCTGGACTGCCTGGACATGATTTTTTTCGTATTTCTCTTAGAATAATTTTACAAAATCAAAAATTCTCTTAATTATAATGAACTTATTTAATTTTACATACACTTATCTTCCATTATGTTCACACTTTTAATATTGCGTTTTATAAATCAGGTGCAATATTTTAATTTAGTATTCCATTCGTTCAATGAAATTGTAAGTGTACAATTTTAAAATAAAAATAATATGCATTTCGTTCATAAAATTTTTTGCAGTTAAAATTAAGTTTTTATTATAAAATATATTAGACTGGAAAATTTCTAATAAAGCAACACGAAAACTCTCACAAGTCAATGACACTATAAATTTTTATATTAAAGTTTAATTGTATTCAATATTTATACAATCCACTATTTAAAATTAACCACCCATCATTAAAATCATATAAAAAATATTGTTTTATAATTCCAAAATGCAACTAAGCAAACGAAATTTCATATTCATATTTAACTGCGTGAGTGCGCTTACATGAATTTCGGTTGAAGACCGCACGAAATTGTAATACTGTGTGTTTTGAATTACTCTTATACTCGTATCGTAACATGTTTAAATTATTAAATTTACTTTGAAAACATAATCCCGACAGAGAAAATTTACTTGAACAATAAAATTTTTAATTAACTTGGTATATTCGAATTGTTATAAAATTTGAGGTGACGACAAATTATTCAAAAATTTTGCAATTTTCTGAATTTTAGAAAATTATTTTAGAAATTTAAAATCCTTTACTGAAAATTTTAATATATTTTTATAATTCTTATTAAAGTCTTATCGTGTTAAGTAAAGCGTCTTACAGCGTTTAGGGATATGCACAAGCTCAGTCCAGCCAATAACTCAAGGTTTCAGACTCATTACTCATTAATAAAATGTTTTCAGTTTTCATGTTGTCTTTTATCTTTTCTACCCATTTAATAAATCCTTGAAAGCGTAGTTGATTGAAAAATTGATAATAAGAGCTTTTATTTGTAAATGAATTGTGTTTCTAGAGAGGCACCCAGAGTCTCGGTATATCTCGTCTTTTCAGTTAACTTAATTTTCAAGTTGAATTTCTCCTTTCTTAAATTGGATAAGAATAGACTTGTCTCAGTTGAAAATTATGTTATACAAATATAATGATACGCAACAAATTTCTTCTCACTCGGCTGGTAAAAAGGCGGGAATCTTAATCAAACTCATCTCAATTCATGATTTTAAATTTTAATTGAGAAATTTTTCTCAAAATTACGATCAGATAAATAACATTTAATGTCAAATAAATTGCCTGTAATAACAAAAATTTATAACAGTTCTTCAATGTTGTGTAACAGATAATGGATTTTTTCCTAAAAACTTAACTTTTATGGAAATTATTTTTCTTTAAATGAGAGATTTTAAATTAGATTCCAAATTAGAAAGTGCGAATTGAAAAAAAATACGAAGGGCAAATTTTTTTAAGTATAGCTGTTATTTTAATTTTACTGTATTTTGCGAATGATTTAGAAAATGAGAGGTTTGTCTATATTAAAGCTCTACTACAAAATCTGAAAGTTATTGTATTATAATGAAAGTTAACAGTTTCAAGTTATTAAAGTTCCACAACTGAACAGAAGTCATTTAGTTGAATTCATAACATTCTGAAGTGTGCTTACAAGTAGTTAAGCGGGTTAAAATTTGTACCCAATTTTAAAAACTGGAAAAAAAAGTTTGTATACTCGAAACTTATTCTAGAATCTTCCCTGTTAAGGATAGAATTCCGTTTGCCTGCCATCTGAATCTGGTAAAATCTTTACTTACATCAAAATGAAAAACCTTTAATCCCATACTATTATGGTAAAACCCCACAAAGTATGCAAAATTTCTGTTTTCTTCGTTTTCCAATTTAATACAACAATAACACAAAAAATAAATTGTACTCGATTTTGAATAAAAAAAAATTTATTAAATAAATATTACGCACAATGTGTAACTTAACCCTATATCTACGTAACTCAAGTTTATTGAGAATAAGGACCACATTTCCAATGAACTCACAAATTTTTTTCTCAATTTTTCTTATTCTCTACTACAATTCATAAGCAATTATTAACGATTAAACTGAATGTAATTTTTTTCAGTTTCGTGTTCATGATAAAATTAATAAGTCTATTTAAAAAAAAATACCAATCTAAACACCTTTTTAATCAAATTTATAGAATTTATCCACTCTATGCCTCGTTATAAATTATAAATCGCATTACATTTGTTAGTTTTTCATTGTATTGGTACTCGTATTAAGTGAGCAGAATTTGAAATTATAAATAATAATGTAAATGTATCGTATATGCACCAAACATCAATACTTGGAGAGGATTTTAACCTCATTGCGATAATACCGTAAATTTATGTACGATATACAATAAAAAGTCCGTTACATTATGTTGCCTAACAACTCGTTAGAGAAAAGCTATCATCCATATTTAATTATAGGTCATTTTAACTAGATTTACCGCATCTTGTTTTTGTTTTTGTAATCACCAAGAGGATTTTCATTTATTTGAATTTTATGATTACCAACTGTTCATTATTTTTATACTTTATTAAGAATATTTTATAACTTGTCTTATGTTATTTTTTCTGCATTTTGTAGAAAAGTTAATTTAGTTTAGTAAGCAAAGTTTTCCTCCCCCAGCAATAAAGTATACGTTCCGATGAAAATTCTGACAATATCTTCAGTCCATTATCCAGATGTCTTAATTCCAGAATTAAATTTTTTATTTTATAAAGAGCGGGCTACAGTTATAAACAATTAGATAAAGCGACTCGAAAATTTTAATTCCAATAATATTGAATCGGCAATTACAATTGAAATTTTTAAGTTCTACAGGTAACCCTAATCTATTTCGCCTTTCTAAAAATGCCTCTAAACATTTAATTTTAATAAATAGAGAGAAATTTTTTATTTTATTTAATTAAATTATAAGGAGAAAATATTCAATGATTTCAGGGAAACTTTAAGGTACAATGTATACACAAATTTTATATTAGCTACTTTATGCTTCGAAACTGCCTTTACATTGTGATAATTGAAAATTTAATAATTTTCCAATTTAATTCTAAAAAAGTATAGCGTTAGGGAAGTTGAATGAGAAGAAGTTTGTAAAGTCAGCAAAACTTATAATTAAAGAAATTTGTATAATTTTTAAATCATTTGTTTGGTAATAAGCTTGTCAAATGTTTATCCATCATTCACCCGGTCTAATATTTTCTTAAAAGAATGCAAACAAGGTTAAATTATATTAAAAAGCACCCATCTGTTGTATCTATATTTATACGTTATAAAAGTTAAATTGAGTTTGGTCAACTAACTCTAAAACATAATGAACTAGGACTCATTATTCATAAAATTAAGCAGATATTATAGCAATTCACAAATAAATAACTTGAAATTTTTTTAATTTAAATTAAGGACCATTCAATTAACAATACAATCGAAGGATTTTGGGCTCAAATTACGATCTGACCTCTAAAGCATGTTTAATAATCTATGTGGCCAAATATTCAATTCGGCAATATTATTACTACTATACAAATTATTCTGAAATGTTGACCAAAAAAGCAATGTCTTGAAATAATCACCACAAAATTATGTCAACATTTCTGCATGACAGAAAATTTTCACTCCAAACCGTATATGATACTCGTAAACGAAACAACATGTTTTGAATAAAATCTCAATGTAAGAAAAATTGTGCAAAATATAAATTTAAAAAGTAAAACAAAGCAGAATAATAAAAAAAAAAATTCAAAAATGAAACCAACCTTACCGGCCTGTAATTTTTCTAAAACAGCATAAATAAGCGCATATATTTACATATGTGTACTGAACACATAACACCGATGTGAATACAAACTTACAAGCGATAGTAATCAACATTTTCATATTACACTTCTAACAATTCGCTATAATAATGCGGTTATGCTGTTAAAATATAGGAGAGTAAATCTAAATGATTTTCATTGGATTATAATTTGCTGTTTTTTTTTTTTAGTTTTTTTCTTCAATGAACATATTATGATAAACGTACATGTTATATGTTCAACGTATATAATATAATATTTGTATAGCACTATCATGCATGTATATCAACGATATCGTTTCAGTTTCATGTTACTTGCTTTCTTTATATTATAAAAAGCTTAATATTTAATAGACAAGGTGTAATTTCTTTAAGACGTTTTTATTTTTACTCTTGTATACGATGTTTAGAATATTTACGATATTAAAGAATTTTTCTTCTGTATGCACATCTGATACGATATACGAATGTGATTTTTTTTCTGAGCATTTGCGTTGTGTTGTCTCGTAAATAAGCAAATGTGTATGTGTATGTGATGTTACAACCAGATTTTCCTAAATAAATTAGGTTAATACCGAGGATCATAAATTTTTAACTTGTTTTTTTTTTTTTTGGTTATTAATAGAAGTAGAAAATAGTAAAAATATGCAAAAAATTTCATTTGCAAAACCTATGAAATATCGTAATATTTTCCCGCTTTTTTGTTATTATTCCAGAGATGAAAATTTTTAATAATTCTTTTAATTTTAGTTCTATTCTTGATGAACAATTGTTACGATCATTCCGCACGGAGTAAAAAATTCTTATTGTAGTTAAGATTATTTTCTATTGGTGTTGTTTTTTTTTTGGAAGTTTTTTTTTGTCGCCCAATTGAAATATTTAATTTATTATTAAAATTGTTTTTAATTATGAAAATTTTCTAATTTTTTGATTTCGCGTAGAATTTTCATAATCCAATATCCGTTTTAGAAAAATTTCATTGTTGAATATTCAATTATTCGCAAAATCAAAATAAATTAAGAGAGAAACTTTCAACAATAAACAATTTAAAGAAAGAATAATAATTTTTATTAAGTTGTCCGAATCAATTAACAAAAAAATAATAATATTAAAGAATAAACGCAAGAAAAAAACAAAAACAAGAAAACCGAAAAATCATTCAATTTAATTGCGGGTTCCATAGCACTGGTTATGTATGTTAAATTTTTTCGTTTTCTTATTAAATAGTAGTTATAATATATTTTTAATTGAAATTAATTAAATCAACAAAATTTATAATATTTAATAAAATAAAGAAAATCAATTAATGAAAATATGAAAAACAGAGAAATTATGATATTAAAAAAAAAAAAAAACAAAAATCGTGAATTGTTCTTTCATATGATGAAAATAAATTATGAAATTGAAATAAAATTTTTAATTGTTGCATTTTTACATGTTGATTCAATTTAAAAATTATCATATTAAATTTATTGACTTCATTTATAGCAAAAATAATCATAAAAATAAGAAAAAACGAACAAGGTGAAAATTTTGGTGTTGCGGTTTCAATGCAATGCAATGCCCGTCTGATTTTCGAATACAATTTTTTGCCTATTTGAATTAAAAGTGAACATTGAATTAAATAAAAAATTAAATTCAAAACTTTAAAACCAATTAAATATTGTATAATTGCATAATTATAATAATTAATAGTATAATTGTATGTGTGTATTTATGTGTGTATTGAAAAAATGATTTAATAATTTAATGAAAGAAAAGCAATACAATTATGATATAACTGTAAAAAAAAAAGGATTAAAATGAATTGTACAAAATTTCAATATCCTTAGGGTCCTCCAATATTATTGATGTTATTATTTACATATGAATATGGATACTACTGTATTATAAAACAAGTACAGTTACAAAGGGAATATAATTTATCCTTACCGCATCGTATACATATTTGTAATTCAAACAAAAAAATATTATTTTGTATTCTACTACAAAGTAATTTTGGTAGTCGCCTCGTCTCATTTAGAGTACATACTTATGTTACATTTGCCACCATTTAACAAGAAAAAAATATTTTCGAACTAACAAAAATTAAGATCTGACTGTGTTTATTTTACCGTTTATCGATTAGTCTATCTACTTCTTGTTCAAACACACATTTGAGAGCTGTCTATAGAGATTTTAAATTTGACTAAAACGTTTTTAAACTTTACTGAAAGTAATTTTGTATTGCAAATCCCATGTAGGTTTTCTTCCAAAACTATGAAAATCTCGTATAAAATATTTTTGTAAGTGAAAGGTTATGTAGTCTTAAAAATGTTTTAAATGTTTGTTTTACGATTTTTTTTTATGAAAATCAAAACGCCAAAAGCAACGTAATATTCAAATTGCAATAGGTGCGTATTTGAATTTTTTTCAATTTATGTTTATTGTTATAAAGGTTTTGCGTTTAGTCGCATAATACAACGGATATGATGCTAATAAATCTGTTTATGTTTGTGTATATGTATGTTTAAAAGTTTTGGAAATGACATTACCCTTCATGTATTTTAAGATCTTAAAATTCAACTGTATAGCGATTTTTTTTCAGTTAAACTTAAATAAACAGGGTATTCGTAACTTGATGGTAGTCTCGAAGCAGGTTGATAGAATTTCATTACCTTTTTATGAAAGGGAATTTCATGTGATTTTAAATGAGTACCCATAGTTCAGATTGTCTATCATAGTTAGCAAATTATCAGTAAAAATTTGAAAATTAGGCGATTTTAAGAAATTCCATCAAACGACATTGAAATTCAATTGGAACATCATATTTGAAGAACGAAGGCCCGAAAAGTCAGTGGTCGTTTTTCGTTCGTTTAGCCGCATTTTATCACTTTGCTTCAATTTTACCACCGAGTTGCAGAAACCCTAACCTATTTTTTTGAGTATTTCATAAAGAAGTGAAAGCTTTAACTTTAATATTTAATTAGATACTTTGTATATTTCGTATTGATGATTTATATTTGTGGGAGCAAGTAAATAACCGAATTATATAACTATTAATTATAAAACTATTTCAAAAAGAGTCTCCCCCTGGTAGCCTTAGGTAAGATAAACCCGATTCCGTTTTGATTTAAAAAAAAAATTAATAAATATTCGTAAATATTTGGAATATAAGAATTTAAGTTGCAAAAACTTTTTTTCTTACATTTTTTCCATATTTCTTGTAGGAAAGTAATTTGCGGAAATATTTTTAAACAATAAATAATTTTTGTTTTACAAACTGTTCAATTGTTTATTAATTTTTATTTTTTTCTTAAATAAATAAGCTTAAAACATATTTCGATCTATATTATCAAAAAATTTCAAACCTCGATTTTTACTTCGTTTTTTTTAAATCTTACATGTATATTCTTAAATTTTGTCTAAATATTCTTAATTTTTTATAGAAAAAGATTCCCACAAATTAACATAATTGATAATGTCCACGATATCTTCTTAACCTTAGAAACAACATAGTTGGTCTCAGTTATCTTTAGAAATTGCATTTTTATTTGTAATTTAGCAATAAGGAAAGCCCTATTAATCATTCATTAATTGATTAACATTAAACTGAATTCATTATACCTGTACGAAGGTATATTCGGAGGGTATACTCAATTTGCCTTACCGTTTGTAACGCTAAGAAATAATGCTCTGAGATATAGACTCAAGTGTATGTTTTTGATCCGCATCGAATTCTGAGTTGATTTAGCTTTGCCCGTCCATCCGTCCCAGCGATAACTCAAAAACTAATTGAGCTAAATTCACCAAATTTTCACAAATAATTGTAGTATGTGCCAGAACTCTATTTAAATTTTACATGATCGGGGTACCGGTTCGGGAAGCTTCCCTCTAACTTCAAAATTTATTTTGCTATATCTCAGAAACTATTAAAGCTGTGATATTGAAATTTCATACAAACGAATATATTAGTAGGACCAATGTGTTTGATAAAATTCGTTAAAATTTCTTGGCTCTTTCTGGTATCTGCTATACAACTTCAATAGTAGTTTGGCACACACAGTATTTTGAAAAACACAGTACTGAAATTTTGCATAAATTAATATGGTAATACGGCAATTGAAAGTCATAGTCTGTCTTATTTCGTACGGCTATCACAGAGTTGACAAGGTTAACTCTATTTTTTCTCATTTTTTCTTAACATAATAAATTACCGAAGAAAGGAAACAATAATAATTTTGGAGGAATTAAATAAACTTACATATTTTTAATTTTTCAATCGGTCAATGTAAAGAATTTCTCTATGTGGCAACTTAAGACCAATATTTATCCATTAGAATTGCATATCGCATAAATAAATCATAAGTTTACACAAATAAAATCATCATCACTTTACTCAAATTTATCCATGTACATATGTATGTATGTGTATTTAATATTGGTGAAAAACTTGAAAGTCAATAATTAAAACTGTTTTTAGAATCGCATTAAATTAAACCCATACAAATATAATGGTAGAAATTCTAATGCATAATTAATTCAAAGTTTATAAATCGTTATGATCGAAGGAGCAAAAATGTTATCGCCTGTAAAACGAAATATTTGTGTGCGCGCGATTTCAAATACAAAAAAAGAAAAAATTTCAAATTTAATCAAGATAACAAAACTCTACAACAACAACAACAACAAAAAATGCAATGAACACGATTATTATCAGTTTTTCTTCATGCATTTATGAATTTTTTTGTTGTTGATGTTGCATTTTTTTGCACAATTACTAACTGTTTTTATGTTTTTATTGTTGGCTTTTGCTTACTTCTTTTATAATTTTTGTTGTTCTTGTATTTATTTATTCTTCATCATTTTCTTCTTTCAAATAGCACCAACTAACAAAGTATTCATTTTTATTTTTTTTTATTTAGTTTAATTTTTTTGTCTTTTTCTTTATTTTTATAATATTTGTTGTGCAAAAAAATCATAAGTATTTTGCAAAAAAAGTTGTTGGCGATATTATTATAGAGTTAGCGATCACCTGGCTGATGATCTAATTTTCATTTATCTCCGAAGAAAGAAAGTTGAGCGATTTTCCTTGTTACAATATGAATGATTTTTTTCTTTGGTTTTTGATTTTTAATATCGCTGCTAACTCTAAATATACAGTCGTTGATTGGCCGTTAATGCGGGACAATCATTAAAATTTTTCATCTTGGACTTTTTAATATTTTATTTTATTATTAATAAAATCAAAAATTATATTTTAAATTTTACGATAGAATGCAACAATTGAAAATTAATATGAATTTTTTTTTTTGAAAATTGTTAAAATGTTAAAATGGAAAAATTTAAAAAAGAAGTGATATTTTTAGATTGCTAATAAAAATAATTTTTTTGATAATTTATTAAAAATTATTATGGTTATTGTGATAATGGAATGAAATATGAAATTATATTGTATGTGAAATTGTTGAGTTTGAAAATAATAATTCACGATTTTTGAAATTTTGAAACCAAATGAAAGTGAAAAAAATTTTACATAATACAATTATTATGGAATTAAAATTAGTTTTTGTTGAAAAAATTAATATGAGTGTGTAAAAATTATAAAAAAAGATTTTAAATATATTTAAAATTATTAAAATGGAAAAATGAATAATTGTAATTGGAATGATATTTAGCACAATTTTATAGGTTTGGTTCACTTTACAAGAAACAAAAAAGTGAAATAATGACAGTCGAACTAAAGCCGTTTTTGTTCTTCCAGAAGATTCAATAGAATACAAGCTAAGAGTTTTCGAAATTCTTATTATTAGTTTTAAAAACTTTTGAAAGTTTTTCCTTTTCAACACTTTGAAACTTAATCTGACATCCGAAATGTAATAACACTGTGTCGATACACAATTGAAGACACGAGTGAATGAAGGTGTCATCTACAATTTTTACAAATAAGGGGGTTTATTGCATAAATAGAAGTTTTATATTTTTATCTTTCCTATGCAAAAGACCGTTTTTCAAAAACTGAGTCAGTTTAAGAAAAAGCTTATTTTTAAAAGGTGTTGTGTCACACTTTTGAATTATTTTGCTTTGAAAGAAGGTTAATTTACAAGAAACTTCCTAATAATTAAAAGCTCTTGAATTTAAACAGCAATTTAGCTTATTCAGCAATACAATATTAATTGCTGAATAAACCAATTCGTTGTAAAATCTGTATTTCAATGTTTGGAGTAACAATTTACTTTACACGAATAAACCCTATTAATTTTGGTGTAATTATTGGAATAAGCCCTATTTTGGTTTAATAAAGTTAAACGATTAATGTGCTATGAATCGAAATTGTTCTTATGAATTTAAATGCAATTAATCTTTGCCACACGTACTTAAATCAATCAATTAAATTTTTTCTCATAAAACCAATCCGATTTGGGGCTATAACTTTATTAGTTAGCATATTTTATATTAGCCAAAGAATAAAGGCTATTTCTTTGCAAATATTTTTATGTAATGTTTGGCAAACCTATAATAGAATATTTTTTGATTATTGAATTTACTTAATTATTCAGAAAACATTTTATTATAACAATAAAATTTACAAGAATCAAAGTAGGATTTGTAATCAAATAATTAAATAAATTTTCAAAATTATTTTTTTTCTTTATAAGTTTAGAGGCTTTGTCATTAAAAAAGAAGCATTATTCCAAATTTTTGGAAAAAATTCTTAATGTTTGGTTATTTTCAATCATTAAATGCAAATAAACGTAATATATTTTTTAAAATGACTAGTGTTGCGTCATTTCGACGCAATAAAATTAAAAGTAAATCAAATAATGATATTCAATCAGTTTTGAATGAAAACGGCAATTGTAGTAATAACAAAATGTCAAATTCTACTACAAATGCTAATTTAAATGCTGCAAATTCAGCGACATCAACTGCTTATTCAATGAAAAGTGATCATAAAAGAAATCATGTAAATAATAATAGTGATATTAAGAAAAATGATAATAACGATAATATTAATAATATTAACATAAATAATAATAAATTTATGATCGAAAATAAAAAATTGTCACCAATGTCTTCGAAAAAGAGTACGATGAATAAATCAAATAGCAGTAAAAATAGTAAAGATTCTATGGAAATAAATCAAAGTAATCATTCTAATATGGATAAAACATCAAATTATAATAAAAATAAGGATTTAATTGGAAAAAAGGAAAGAAATACAAGACGAGCTTTAGTAAGGTAACAAAAAAATCATATTACATAAGTAATCGACAGCTTCATACTTGAATTAATAATGACTAAATTTAAATTAATTTAAAAAATGTGATTAAAAATTAGAATAGTTTCCACATGCATTAATGAGAATATGATATCCGTATGAAATATGCGGATAAAGTTGTATGAAATTTGAGAATCAACTTAGTAAACTTTTGAAAATGTAGGGCAGTTTTTATAAACATTCCTAAATTTCAACAACTTTTATAGTAAGTGAAGGCCATCTTATCTTATTATACATATTTGTGCGAATTTTGTACGAAATCTTCGCGATACTGCAGCTTTGATAGTTCTTCTAAAATGAGACTAAATAACTTTGAAAGTTGTGTATCAAGTATCCTAATCAGTACCTCGATCAGATGAAATTTAAACAAGATTCTGACATTTATTATTATACAGCCTTTACACAAAGTTATACTTACATAGACGAACGGACGGACAAACTGACTCTGAATTTGATGATGATCAAAAACATATGCTTGCGCATCTATCTCAGAAAACTTGCAAATGAAACGAAAATTATTAAGAAATTATATTATTATAACTTCTTAATAATTATAAGTATTATATTAATAGACACTATAATAGAATAATCACGCTACACGGTAGACAGCTTCAGCAGTGATAAAATCGTCAAATTTGTTGAGAACCTTACATACATGCATTTTAATTATTTATAGATAGATATAAAGAGCAAAAAACATGTTTTACTGAGATGCATTATTTAGAGATTACAATATACAAATCCGGTATAAATGGTACAGGTACGTGCACATGCAACGCTCACCTTTAAAATAGAACGCAATTAGGAAAATTAGTTTTCATTTTAATTAATTTAAAAACTAATTTCAACATCACCGCTTAAAATTTTATAGCTTAAACTTATTAATAAATGGATACAAACACATACTGTTGCTCGTATGTTTTAAGTAATAAAGTTTGCAAGTAATAATATTAAAATTTAATAAACTCAGTAATGCTAAGAATTAATCGCTTTAATTATTTTAATACAAGAAAATTATTTACACTTGCATACTTTGTACAACTTAGTTGCAATTAATCACTGAGTCTGACTCTTTTTTTAGTTAATTAACAAATAGGTCATGAATTGCTCATATTTTATTCATTCATTTTATCTTATTCATTTGAAAATCTTTACCCAGAATTAATAAAGTTTATGATATGAAGGGAAAAGCCTTACATTGCACTTTTAATTTTCAGTCTCAAATATTGTAAAAAATGTACTAGTTGCAAAAATTTCATTATGTTCATATTTGGTTATATATATATATGTATGTATGAGGAGAAGACATATTTAACTAACAATTTATGAATCCACTGCTTATACATTGCAATTACTTTATTACAAAATTTTTCAACAATTGTTCAAAATTACAACAATTGTTCAAATAATCATAAAATAAATTGGGATGATTTTCCGATTTAGGTTATTACATACCACAAAACTTTTATAATTTAATAAAGATATTTCTGTGTTGCGTCTCTCTATTCGAATATAAATGCTTTTCTATCTTACACTTCTTACGAAGGGAATGGATCAGTAATTCTGGAATTGGAAAAGTCTAGATTCAACCAAACTTTTAGGATAATTTCTGATTATTGTCTATAATAATTTTGCCAGAAATAAATTGCAAAAGACACTAGATTATTTTCAGGATTTCAAAATAATGATTTTAGTGTAGTTGAATTTAATAAAGCAAAGTTACATAAAAAAATAAAAAATTTTTGAGTTTCAAAGCAATTAATAAATAAAGCGAGAATTTTCTGTTTTTTCCAATGCACAGTTCAACAACAACATTTAGAATTTATTAAATGAAATTAGAAGTTATTACTGAATCCATTAAGAGTAAGCAGGATATCAAAAAAGCTTCCAACACAACATTATGGGATTAAATTGAATTTCTAATTCATAGAGTTGAAACTTACAGTTTAAAGGAATAGAGGCTGTTGAAAACAGAAATTTTTTACTTATACACAATTAGTAATTCAGAACGAGTGACAGAACTTGACCACAGCATGATATTTGATTTCAGTAATTATATTCTCATAAATTTAAAATATTCTTAAAAAAGCGTGCGTATATTTTAATTTAAAAATTAGAATCTGACTGATCTGGTTTTAATACATGTCCATAAGAAGTTTTCACTAAAAGCATAATAAGTTTCAGTTGCCTAATAAATACGTTTTTATTAATATTTCATAAAAATTAGAATCTGTTAATCAAAATTTTAGTAGAAAATTGTGATAAATTTATATGCCGAATTCATATTCAAAATCTTCCACTTTCCAATGTAAAAATAAATCGACAGAAGTTAGGATTGAAATATAAACGTAACGGCAACTATTTCTATACATTGAAAACTGAAATGGCAGGTTACAATTTCATAATTTTACGATTACTGCCATATAAGTAACAAGAACAAGAGACTTAACAAGATTTATTAGCATTTTAATTACAATTTTAAACCATTTCTTTCTGCATTCGCGAAATATTTCCAATTGTTCGTTTAATATTTGTTATAAAAGCTGCAATCGGTGTTTATTATAGGATCAAAATATAAAAAACAATTCAAGTCCACATTTCTGATGAACAATTGACAGGTGCCAAAAATTTCAGCCTTTATAAAACATAAAAAAATCTGATATGGTGAGCATATAAGCGACTAGATTAGTGAAATCTAGTCGCTTATATGCTAAGTATTGTCTAGATTAGTGAAAGTGTTACAGAATATTATAAAAATGTCTGTAAAATACTTAAAATCGGCCCTCAGATCAGTTTCCGAGCCCTGATCTTTGAAAAAATGTATATGTTCATTAATACGAAGAATTTAAATATTAAATTTTAATGAAATCGGTTGATTATTTCTCTTTATATACGCAAAAATGTATATTTGGCCTGTAGTAAACGTCCAGTCGCTGACACCTGATTTCTTCCAAAAGTTAGGAGATTTCGCGGAAGATCAAATGAAGTTTATATATGAAATTTCAAGCAAATCTATTGAATATTTTCTTCATAATGATCAAAAATGTAAAACAGGCCCGCTAAAAAGTGCAGATCCCGAGGCCTGATATATCCTAAAAGTTGATCAATCCGTGCCATGATGGAAATAAACTTACATATAAAATTTCATCAAAATCGGTTCGGCAGAACTTGAGATAAACGCGTGCACACACAGACCGACAGACCGACAGGTTGCTAAAAATAGTTTATTTACACTTCCCTACCATGGAGAAGTGTGTTCCCAGCGAAAACTCGATATGCAAAATTTGTTGCCATCACATAATCTACCTATTGTGGTCCGTAAATATGAATAGAACTCTGGAAAGAATTCAGTAGAAAAATTCAAAATTACTGTCCATCAACCGGTATAGACGTGTTCACGTTTTGCTTAATTTAATTCTTCTTAATTTTGCTAACGTTATCAGAATTTAGATCTTTCCAATTGGAAAATTACTTAAATAAATTTATGTATAAATAAAGTTGGGTCAAACCAATGGTTTGTATTGTAGCACTTTTCCCTTCAACAAGTGAAAATTCTGCTTTTAAATACAGTCTATGTATACCTATCACACTATTAAAATTATTTTCATTCATATACAAAACTATTTCTAGGATTGCATATATTTAGGATGATGCATGATGCAATCTTTGAAATAAAGAAAAAATTAATATAAAGAGGGGTTAACATAATGCTCGATTTTAAGGTTTAATTGTGTGAGTTAAGAAAAATAATTATATTTTTAAATGTCATGGAATTTACCGTTAACTTTTTGCGTTTATAGAAATTTGAAAAACTTACGGTTTCAGAAATATAGGGTGTCAAAAATTCAAATTTTACAAATTTCAAGGGGCGATAACTTGAGAGGGGGTGGAGATGGAAAAAAATTTTCTTCTAATAAATTATAAATAAATTATTTGTTAATGTCTAAAAGCCCCTAAAATTTAAAGTTTCTACAGACTGGGGTGTAGAAGAAAAACGACATCAAAAATTTGCAAAAAAAGGACTTTAGATAACGGTAAATTTGAACGGCCATTTTGTTTTTATAAAATTTAACTATAGTATACCGCGCTAGGGGAAACAAGCCGCTGCCTTTCTGCGTTTGCAAAATTTCAAAAATGCTTATGGTTTCATTGCAACAAATAGTTAAAAAAGGTCATTTTTAGCATTTTGGGGGGGTATAACTTCTAGAGGTCTATCTTCAAGGATGTAGAAATTTTGTAAACAAAAAAAGTGTCCACAGACGGACGGACAGAGTGAAACTAATAAGCACTTTTTCCAAAAAATTTTTGGAAAAGTGCTAAAAAAGGAGATTGGGTTAACAATATATGTCGTCAAAATTCACAATTGTGGTTTATTTAATCAAAACCGAAGAGGAGTGCTATGAAAGCAAACTTTGTGTGATTTGAAAATTATTATTAAAAATAATAAAGGGCAAGATAATTGTGACTGTTTTATTCTTACTACCATCCATTTTATTACAAAACTTAGACTGATACTAACCTGTAGATTTATTGTGATAGCAGCAGAAATTGATTACGACAGCATTGATTTTATCATCCTTTATTAACAAAATAATTTTCGATGAAAATGAATTTTTTACTGAATTAATTTTAAATCTGTTTTTAACACTTTTGTTTAATCAAGTTTGGTCGTCTTTCCAACTATTTCAATTATTAAGTAATTTTTAATAATTTCCCAATTGAAATTTCATTTTGCATCTAAATTGGTGAAAAGAAGATTTCATGGTCAGTAACATGAATAATGACGTTGACCTCAATTTAAGTGAAAAAATACTATTAGAGTTGTAACAGTTAACAAAAGAACGAGTAGATAAAATTTTCTTTTTGTATTTTTTAGTATAAGATTTTTTAAAGCTTGAAATCTTCTGCTCCACTTTAAAAGTAACACAAATAATCTTTTCTCTTAAATAAAATTATAAAA